AAGAATATCTATTGATCTCAGGTCCCATAGAAAGAAGAAAGAGATTCCAGAATTAAACAGTGAGTATTTTTCTTTGATTTTATTGGAGTGATTTGATCCTTGTTTTTCTCTCATCATGGACTATCAATTTAGGGTTTTTGAAGCAAACCAATTTCAAAGAAAACTAAAGGCAATACTCTATCTCTATTTCTCTCTCTAGATTTATTATATAAATATATATTGATTATAGTTGCTGTTTATTTTGATATGAAGCATCAAAGACTATCTATTGATCTCAGGTCCCATAGAAAGAAGAAAGAGATGCCAGAATTAAACAGTGAGTATTTTTCTTTGATTTTATTGCAGTGATTTGATACATGTTAATTTTTAGGTATATTTTTGCTTGTGCATATTATATATATATATATATATGAATTATTGGTGGGTTCCGCAATACCCTTTTTCTTTGATTTGTAGATAATTGAATTGAAAAAACATTGTGCTTAAGTTATTTGTCCTTCCCAATAAATAAATAATTTGTGTGCTTTGTTCCTGAGCAAAGCTTTAGATGAATTTAAATCTTCGATTTTGTTTTGTGTTTTCTTTGATTTTCCATTGAAATCTACTTTGATTTGTTTAGTGCTCCCATCTATTGTTATAATTCATTATGAAAAAAAATAAAACTTTCAAAATTACTATGTGATAAACACATTCCCCATATTGTTTGTCATGAATAATTTATTTAAAAATAGATACCTTTTAACAGAGCATCATAGTCCATTTTGCACAGTTTATTTTCTCTCTTTTTGTTTGCCTTGAATTTGCACTTATATTTTTTTAAATGGGAAAACATAAAATGTGCACCCTTACAAAGAGACACTCGTAAGAAAATTATGAAATTTTTTGGTAGAAATTATAGGCATTACGAGAGCTAATCTAACTATAATAGCTTTCTGGTTCTCATGCCTCTTACCCACAATTTGAAGTAGGAAATTATCAATGCTAAAAACAATCCCTCTTTTGTTGCCTTCATCAAAAAGTTTTGTTCAAACTTTTACCACCTCCATAACTTCATACCAGTCCATTTATGTCTGATTGAAAACTAGATAATTTGAAGTAAGAAATTATCAATGCTAGATAAGTTCTTTTCTCTGATTTGGCTCTCATCATCTGAAGAACATTTTACAGACGCCTAATTGGGCATGTAAGTACAATACCCTTTCCATATCAGTTTTATTTGGATATAGTTTTGTCTTACTTGATTACTGTCATTGGCTACAATATGCTGAAAGTTACAAATATGTTGAATATGAGATTGAGTTTTTTCTAGTAAAAAATGTTTTAGGATATAGAACTAGTAATTGTATACATTAAGTAATCTGATCAATATAGACAAAGCAAACCATGCATGCTATTCTCTTGCAACAACATTTAGGAATTAGCCAGTAAGGATGATATGGATCCTGAGATCATTTTCAATGATCAACTAATGGCAGAGAATTTAGTTCACAATGACGATGAAGATGACACAATGATAGAGTATAATGATGATGAAGATGATGAACAGCATAGACAACCTGATATTGATGTAGATCCTGATATAGATCTTGATATAGATTATGATATGTAGTGTTTGCTTTTTATTATATGGACAAAGTGTTATAATTTTATAATAAATTGCTTGGTTTACATTTCATGGCATTGTTTTTTCAAATTTCATAGCATTGTTTCACATTACATTTAATTTCATTTCATTATATGCCATATCTATCGTTACAAAGATGTCCACAAACAGTAAATTATTTCTAAAACCCGGCAACTTGGTCCAGAATATGACGAAATATGAGAAGGATAGAAAGAAAAGAATTCAAAAAAATAAAATCAGATTTGATGCTCTAGGGATAACTCCGTCGGGGTTGTTAACAACTCCGCCGGTCCCAAGCCCGGGTTAAGGAAGAAGGTTGTGTGTTAGGTAGCCGACAGCCAACACGTAAAAAAGCCACTCGGATCCCTTATGAAAATGAATCCTTTGAATCATTTAAATGCTAGGTCGTTCCCCTCAAGTGACGCGTTGCGCCTGCCTCTGGGTGTTTCGAAAAGTGAGCAAGGGGCGCCGCATCGACGCCTGGGTGCGGTGAAAAATGGGCAAAGGTTTCCGCGCTTTTCTGGACGAGCGCGGGTAAAGAAGCTAGTCCAAGACTATAGGTTTAGGGTAGCCACTTGGAACATAGGAACCTTAACTGGTAAGACAATGGAATTGGTAGATGTTATGATTAGGAAGAGAGTTAGTATAGCTTGCATACAAGAAACTAAGTGGACGGGAGAGAAATCTAGGAAAATTGAGGATACCGGTTTTAAACTATATTATAGTGGTAAGGATAGACACATGAATGGGGTAGAAATCATAATTGCCAAGGGTCTTGTGGAAAGTGTAGTGGCGGTCACTAGGAAATGAGATAGGATTATGCTAGTTAAACTAGTTATTGGAGGGAATATAGTGAACATTATTAGCGCATACGCCCCTCAAGTAGGGTTAGATGATCAGACTAAGAGGGATTTTTGCGAGCAAATGGATGAGATCTTGCAGGAAATACATGTAAGAGAGAACCTGGTTATAGGTGGAGATTTTAATGGCCATGTGGGCATAAATAAACTAGGTTATGAAAGGGTGCATGGTGGATACGGTTTTGGTGACAGAAATGAGGCTAGAGAGAGTATCTTAGATTTTGCGTTGGCTTCTGACCTGGTGGTGGCCAATACTATGTATAAAAAGAGGGAGGAGCATTTGATAACCTTTAAGAGTGGATTAGTTAAGAGTCAAATAGATTACTTCTTAGTAAGAAAAGTGGACTGCCTAAAATGCAATAATTGTAAGGTGATTCCTGGAGAGAGTCAGGTCTCTCAACATAGGATTTTGGTACTAGATTTATGTTTTAGAGGGCAATACCAAGCTAAGAAGGCTGGTGAGCATTGTAGGACTAGATGGTGGGACCTAAAAGGGGATAAACTAGCAATATTTAAGAATCGAATGGATAAGGAAGGTACTTAGGACTTAGAAAGTGATGCTAACACTATGTGGAACTCGATGGCCAATTGTAAGAGGAGAATCTCAAGGGAAGTGCTTGGAGATTCGAAAGGAACGGGACCCAGCTCTAAGGAAACTTGGTGGTGGAGGGAAGAGGTTCAAGCGGTAGTTAAGGCAAAAAAAGAGTACTTTAAAAAGTGGCAGAAGGATAGAACTGAAAAAAACCTTAAGAGCTATAGATTAGCTAATAAGGAGGTCAAGAAAGTAGTGAGAGAGACCAAGTTGAAAGTATATGATGACCTATACACTAGACTAGGTAGTAAGGAGGGAGAGAAGAGGATATACAAACTTGCTAAGATACGAGAGAGGAAAACAAGAGATTTTAACCAAGTAAAATGCATCAAGAGTGAGGATTCTAAGGTATTGGTGAAGGATGATGAGATTAAGGAAAGATGGAAGAATTATTTTGAGAAACTATTAAATGAGGAACATGGAGGTACGATAATAAGGGAAGAAATAGCCAGTAATACGATAAACCAAGACTATAGGTTCTATCGCAAGATTAGGAACTTTGAAGTGGAAATTGCACTTAAGAAGATGAAATCAAATAAGGCTTTAGGACCCGATGATATTCCTATTGAAGCTTGGAAGTGTTCGGGTAAAAAGGGAGTTGGTTGGTTGACTAGGTTGTTTAGCAAAATTTTGTTTACTAGGAACATGCCAAATGAGTGGAGGAAGAGTATTTTAGTGCCAATCCATAAGAATAAAGATGATGTCCAGAATTGTAACAACTATAGAGGAATCAAGCTAATGTGTCATATAATGAAAGTGTGGGAGATGGTGATGGAACGCCGATTGCGAGATATAATAGAGGTGTCAGAGAATCAATTTGGGTTTATGCCTGGTAGGTCAACAATGGAAGCGATCTATCTTTTGAGGAGAGTAATAGAAAAGTATAAAGAAAAGAAAAGAGACATTCATATGGTGTTTATCGACCTTGAGAAAGCATATGACAGAGTGTCCCGGGATATAATATGGTAGGCGTTAGAGAAGAAAGGGGGACAAAAGGTTACATTGACGTGATTAGGGACATGTATGAAGGGGTGGTGACCACCATTAGATCGCCAGCTGGAGAGACAAATGAATTTCCTATCACTGTAGGGTTACACCAAGGATCTACCTTAAGTCCTTATCTTTTTGCTTTAGTTATGGACGAGTTGATGATAAATATTCAGGATGACGTACCATGGTGCATGCTTTTTGCAGACGATATTATGCTAGTGGATAAGACTAGAGAAGGAGCTAACACAAAGTTAGAGATTTGGAGAAAAACTCTTGAATCTAAAGGATTTCGGATAAGCAAAACTAAGACAGAATACATGAAGTGTAAATTTAGTAACGGTAACAACGAAAGCAGAGGAGAAGTAAAGATTGAGAACCAAGAATTGCCTAAGAGTGAACATTTTCGTTATCTAGGGTCGATTATCACAACAGCGGGAGAGATTGATGCAGATGTGGCCCATAGGATTAAGGCGCGATGGTGTGAGTGGAGAAGTGCGTCTGGGGTATTGTGTGATAAACGAATACCCACTAGAATAAAAGGTAAGTTTTATAGAACGGCTATTAGACCAGCTATGGTGTATGGGACGGAGTGTTGGGCAACCAAGAAACAGCATGTAGATAAGATGAGTGTGGCTGAGATGAGGATGCTAAGGTGGATGTGTGGTAAGACTAAACAGGACAGGATTAGGAATGAGTGTATTCGGGAATGGGTAGGAGTAGCACCGATAGAAGATAAGTTGAGAGAGAATCGTTTGAGATAGTTTGGTCATATTCAACGGAGACCAACAGAGGCAGTAGTGAAGAGATACGATACTGTAACGGTAGATGGGAGTGTTAGGGGACGGGGTAGGCCTAGATTAACGTTGACCAGCGTTTTAAATAGAGATATGAATCTACTTAATTTGACTAATGAAATGGCCTTTGATAGGGCCGCGTGGAGAAGAAGGATTCATGTAGCCGACCCCATTTGATGGGACTTAAGGCTTGGTTTGGCTTGGTTTGATGCACTAGAGATAAAGACAAGAATTCAATGTTTGGTTCTATTCAAAAGGACAATAATAAAAGTTCTAAGGAGGGGAAGAGGAAGGTGGGTGAACGTGATAATGCCGAGGACTATCAACCACTTGATGATGATGAAGGACTGAGTTCTTCAAGTGATGATGGCGAGCCATTTGATTCTCAAGTGAATGAGGTAATACATGTATATAAAAAGTAATTTCTCTATTTTTTCACTTGTTATATTACTTGTGTTATGTCTAGTTATTTTAAACTTTTTTTTAATAAGCATCCTTAAATTATTGAAAATGTACTAACAATTCATTTTTATATTATGTCAGGATATTCATATGGGTCCCGGTAGTTAAACAAGTAGGTCTGCAGCTTGCCTAATAGCTTCACAAACACCTAAGGAAGAGATAAGTACTCCTGATGAAGATACACTTACTCTTCCAAAACGACCTTTAGTGGCACAAGTCAATCATTCAAAGAGCACACCTGAGGTGTTGACCCAACCTATCCATCTTTCTGCCTTATATACTAGGCCCGATCAGCTCCCTACCTTAGCCACTTGCCTTGACCACCTTTCGAGCCCATGTACTGTCACTAACAGTGGAGGTGAGAAATAAATGACCACTTAAATGAAATGATAATTTCTTATCTCAATATTTATTTAGTGCATTCAAGTTTTATGTCGACTAACTTGAATAAAATTTTGGTCATTTTGGTCATAATAGCATCAATTCGAGTTTTGGGCAAGAAGCGTATGCGGGACCGACTCAAGGAAAGAATACGGAGTAGATTAGAAAGGAACATGGTAATCGAATACCTGTTACACTTAACCGTTTGACCAAAGCAATAGAAGGGGATTACGTCACACCGTTAGAAGCTGCTCTTGGTCAACAAATGCGAGTTCATGCCCCAGTCCGAAATGATGGATGGATAGCCATTGAATTTGGGTTAAGAGAGTCCATTGTTACAAGAGTTTGGGTAGTTTTAATTATACGTATTATATATTCAACATGTTATTTATCTTAATCACAATGATACATAAAATATATTGAATTTTAATGTTTCTAATTGCAGCAAACTTTTGACTTTGGGGACTACAATAATGATGTGGATGTGAGATGTATTATTGATCAGAAGTGCCAAAATTTATAAACTAAATAGAAAAGTAGATCACACACGCACTACAAATCCCTTAAAGAAGACAAAGAATCCGACCTCAAAAGTCATACATTATATCCTTGTACACAGGATGATTGGAAATTGATGATTGACAATCTATGGAAAACTGACGATTGGATGGTATTTATAAAAATATTTACAAAAGTAATATCCTCCTTGTATATTAATTAATGTTACCTTTTTTGTTTTTATTTGTAGGAAAAGCAAAGAATGCGATGCAAGCAAGAGATTGTGTGAAGTATAATCATATGAGCAACTCGAGATCGTTTGCATCGCGAGCATCTGTTCTTGTAAATGTAGATTTACAAATTCAAACATACTAAATTAAAATACAGAATTATTGTTTGACTAGAAAATCTCATGAAATGAAAAGTATAAGGAAGCAAACCGACCATTACAAAACTATTCAAGGACACCCACAAACGTCACCGATATGGGGGAGTGTGGATAAATAGCACGGTTGAGGAACATCATGTAACCATAACTATTTCAATTTCAATAATATATGCATTCATTTTGATGTTATGTTTTAAGCTTACTTATATTTCATTCATAGGCCACTATGGTTTCAAATATCGATGAGCAGTCTCAATCTAGTGTTACACATCTATTATCTAAGAAACAAATTTCCAGGGAAGTACTTTTGTTAGGACCCTACTTGTTGTCAAATTCCGTGGACAAACTTGAGTTTCATTGAGTTGTAATTTTCTTATGTTTTTGGTCTTCCCGCTCGAGTAGAGTGGCGCTCGAGCAGAGATTCCACCCTCACAGTATTTTGGCTTGTCTGCAAAATATACTAAGTGACTTGTTTTTACACTCAAGCATGGGATCTTACGGTCGAGCGTGAACCCTGGTTTGGAACATGCGATATAGAGTCCCCACTCGAGCGTCCATTCTCACGCTCAAGCGGACCTCGCGATCTCAGCTTCTATAAAACCTCAAGTTGCTCCAAATCTAGGGTTACGTTTTCCAGATCTTCTTTAAGGGTTTTAGGGTTTTCTTTTGGGAATATTTTTCTGGTTTTCCTTGATGTTTGATTGAGTTTGAACTCATGTTCTTATAAGCACACATCAAGGAGTTTGTTTGATCTTCTTGGAAAGTATTTTTCTTCGGTGGAATCCAAAGATTCAAGCACAAAGTAATCAAAGGAGTTTGATGCTATGTGCAGTCGTTGATTCGATAATGGATATTGTGGATTCAACATCAATCTAATCAATTCCGAGACAAAGGTTACGGTGAAAGATATACAGAAGATTTGCAGACAAATTGGAAGCGTTTGGGTAATTTGTTTGGTATCTTTGTAATCTTTCTTTCTTCAGTAGTGGATTGATTTGTGGCGTTTTGCCTATGGTTTTTTTTTATCACAATTGAAGGTGCTTCAATTGTGATTTTTTCACGTAAAATCGTTTGTGTCGATTTATTGTTTTCTGAAACAACAATATAAATCACTTTCATACGTGCTTGATGATTTAGATTGTGAGTTTTAATTGGTTGGGAATCGGAACTATTAAATCTTGATCTAATCACAAATCACTTAGGTTTTTCACTTAGTATCAGAGCATGTCACTCTTTGTTTTTATCAAAACTATAGGAGTGTGATTTTGTGTGATTGGTGATATGGATTCGATCCGCGAAGGTAACTCGACCCATAGACCTCCGTTACTTGATGGTACAAACTATTCTTATTGGAAAGCTCGTATGAGAGCATTTTTAAAATTTATCGATGAGAAAGTTTAGCACTGTGTGATCTATGGGTGGAGTAACATATTGTCACTATTGATAGTGTTGATATTCCTAAACCCCTTGATAAATGGGACGCATTCGACTATCAAAACTCGAGTTGGAACAATAAGGCTCTCAATTCCCCTTTTTGTTCCGTCACACCAGAAGAGTTTCGTCGTATTTGCACGTGTGAGGTAGCAAAAAAGGCTTGGGACATTCTGGAAACAACTCACGAGGGTACTATTTCTGTTACAAGGTCAAAACTTCAACATCTCACCTCTGCCATTGAAACTCTTTTTATATGTGATGATAAGACATTTGATGATTTTTATGCTAAACTTAGTGACATCGTGAATTCTTGTTTCACACTCGGTGAAAAAATCCCTGAAGCTAAGGTTGTTGGAAAAATTTTGAAGTCTTTCCCCGAGAGGTTCTAATCAAAAGTGACAGCTATTGAGGAGGCTCAGAATGTTGATACCCTCAAGCTTGATCAGTTGGTTGAAAACTTATAGACTTATGAAGCCCACCAGATTTCTAAGAAAAAACAAAAAGATAGTATGGCTTTCACTAGTGCTCATGAGACTGCAAAAACTCCTGAGACTGAGTTTGATCTAGAGTCCAAGATGACGGTTATGTTTACTAAACAGTTCAAAAAAAAATTAAAGAAAAAGAAGCTTAATTTCAGGGACCTTATTTCAAAAGATAAGAGTAATAAAAAATCCAAAACTTTTCCACCAAAACTTGTTCCAAAAACTGAAAATAAGATTGTGAAGGAGCAAGGGGTCAAGTGTTACGAATGTCAAGGGTTTGGACATATTGCTCTTGAATGTCCATCGAAAAAAAATCGGAAGAAAGTCTATACAGTGACTTGGGATGATGAAAGCGGGTCAGAGCAAGAACCCGAAGACACCGAATCCGGTGAAGACGAAGATAGTGCTTTCATGGAATTCTGGTCCACTTTCACTCAACCTCCTCTAAAGCCAGTGGAATTTGCTCGTGGTTAGAATTTACACCGTGCTCCTACCTTTGATGGGAGTAATTACTTGTACTGGAAGATCAGAATGAGGGTGTTTCTGAGAGCTTATAACCCTGAGGGCTGGCAAGCCATTAAAGAGGATGTTGAAAGCACTGACAATCCGAGCAATCAGAGAGTTCTGACTACCATTCGTAGAAGAATTTCTGATAAAGAACAGCAACGGGTTGCTCACTACACAAAGGCCAAAGATGCATGGGACATCCTGAGTCAATTTCATGAAAGAGGAGAGTCATCTTCACCACCATCTATCTCATTTCTTGCCTTTGTTGCTCGACTGGATGAAATCCAGGAGAAAGAGGAACAAAAAGAAGATGATGAAATAGCTGAATCTATCTAAGATCAATGACAAACCTACTCTTAAGCTTAAAGCATGTGAAAGCGAGAATGTCAAGCTAAGAGGAGAAATTGTAACAGCCAAGCAGAATGTCATCAAAATCTCTAATGACAGGCAAGACCTTTGTGGGAAACTTCTATCTTGTGAGACCGAAAGGAATGAACTTCTGAAAATATGTGCCACATATGAAGAGAAGATTGAAAGCCTTGAGATGTCACAAGCTACATTGGAAGAGATGGTTGGTAAAAAAGATTAAGGACTCAGAGATACTAGAGCCACAATTGCCATGTGGAACAAAGGTTCCAAGTCAACAGAAGACACCATTGGGTCTCAACAAATGGGTTGTGACAAAAGTGGGCTAGGCTATGGTAATGCGACAACTCACAAGGGACAGGCCTCTACATCACATGACCTGAAGACTCAAGCAAAAGAAAAGCTGAAGATGTACCAGGGTGATCCCTCTCTTCATCTGCCTAACGAGGGTAAGATCAACAAAAGGGAGGTAAAACCTGTTTTTGTTTGTCATCATTTCGGTAGGTATGGCCACATTCGTCCTTATTGCTTTGAGTTGTTTGGTAAGGTGTCTCAAAATGGTAGAAATTCTAATACTTTTTGGGTTAGGAGACAACCTTACATATCTAGGTAGAACACCAAGATTCATGAGGGTGTTCACAACGCTAAGACATTTACCAAGACCGCCAGTCCTGATTTTGTCAAGCCCAAAAAGATATGGGTAAGAAATGATGACTTGACTTGTTTTGTTGTTCACACTGCTCTAAAAACACGTGACTCACACATGTGGCACCTTGACAGTGGGTGCTTTCGGCACATGTCAGGTGACAAATCCTATTTCACCTCCCTTGAAAAATTTGAATGAGGAATTGTTACGTTTGGAGATGGTGGCACTTCTAGAGTCATTGGTAGGGGCTCTATAAGTATGGCTGGTCTTCCCAAGCTCAAAAATGCATTACTTGTTGATGGCCTCAAAGCAAATCTTTGGAGCATCAGTTAAATGTGTGATTCCCACCATGAAATATTATTTTCAAAAAATAAATGTGGAATTTTAGATAAAAAGGAAAATACTGTCATGCATAGGGTTCGCACATCTGATAACTACTATGAAATTGTTACCTTTAATGATCTCACTTGCTACTCAGCCATTATAAGTAATATTGATCTGTGGCATCAAAGATTAGGTCATATAAATTTCAAAGACCGAACTAAGATAGCCAACAAAGAGCTTATGAGAAGAGTACCTAAACTGGGTAAGAATTTGAACCGTGTGTGTGGACCATGTCAACTTAGGAAGCAAACCTGTGCTCCTCATAAAAAGGTGAACAACTTTACAACGAAATGTCCTCTTAAATTGGTTCATATGGATCTTATAGGACCCACTCGCACTGAAAGCATTGGAGGTAAAAGATACATTTTTTTAACCGTTGATGATTTTACTCGTTTTTCATGGGTAAATTTTTTAAGAGAAAAATCTGATACGTTTGATCCTTTCCAGGCCTTAGTCCTTAAAATCCAAAATGAACAGGGTGTTTCTATTGGGCGTATCATAAGAATCCGAACTGATCGTGGTCGTGAGTTTGAAAATAGTTCGTTTTCGGATTTTTGTGATATGCATGGAATTAAGCATGAATTTTTTGCACCGATTACTCCACAATAAAATGGAGTTGTTGAGAGGAAGAACAGAGTTATTCAAGAGATGGCTAGGGTCATGCTCCTTAATAAGAAATTCCTCCAAAATTTTGGGTTGAAGCCTTAAATACTGCTATTTATGTCATAAATCGTGTGTATTTAAGGCCTGGCACTTTACAAACTTCATATGAATTGTGGAAGGGATTGAAACCTAATGTAAAATACTTCAAAACTTTTGAGAGTAAATGTTACATTTTCAAAGATAAAGAGCCTTCGGGCAAATTTGACTCCTGAAGTGATGAAGGTATTTTTCTAGGGTATTCAACCACTAGTAGAGCTTTTCGTGTTTATAACCTGTGAACTTTAGCTTTAATGGAATCGATCAATGTGGTTATAGATGACACAGGTTCTCCTACTTCAGCGATAAATGAGGAAGAAAATGGTAAGCCTCAATCCTGGATATTCAACCACAAAGTTAAAAAAAACTGAGGTCCAAGCACAAGAAGTTGAGACAACACCAACTTCTCAGGTAAGTCGGAGTCCAAAGAGACACCACTTCTGATGCTTCTGTCACCACAAGTCCAAAGTTCAAACCATCAGCAAGGATGAAACTAAGTCATCCAGCTCAACAGGTGATTGGAAGTGTCTCAGATCGAATGAAAATCCAAAGACAAATTTGGGAGGAGGTATCTCATATGTGTTATGTTTCATTAATTGAACCGAAGAATATAAAAGAGGCCTTACTAGATGATAGTTTGGTCAATGCTATGCATGAAGAATTAGGTCAATTTAAACGTAACAATCTTTGGACTCTTGTTTCCAGACCTAGAGACATGAATGTGATAAGTACTAAGTGGATCTTTAAGAATAAATCTGATGAGAATGGTACTGTGGTTAGAAATAAAGTTAGGTTGGTTGCTTAAAGCTATACACAAGTAGAGGGTGTTGACTATGATGAGACGTTTGCCCCAGTTGCACGTCTCGAATCTATTCATATTTTACTTGGTGTTGTATGCTTTCTTGGTTTCAAACTATTTCAAATGGATGTGAAAAGTGCCTTTTTGAATGGGTACTTAAAAGAAGAGGCTTATGTTGAGCAACCGCAAGGGTTTGAGGACCCTAAATGTCCAAACCATGTCTACAAGTTAGACAAGGATTTGTACAAGTTGAAACAAGTCCCTCGGGCTTGGTATGATAGACTTACTACATTTCTTCTTGATAATGATTTTCAAAGGGGTAGTGTGTACAAGACTTTATTTGTGAAACATACTAAGTCTCATATACTTGTTACACTGATTTATGTTGATGATATTGTGTTTGGATCCACTGCTGATCATCTTGTTAAATACTTTTTAGATTGCATGACACATGAGTTTGAGATGAGCATGATAGGAGAGTTGTCTTATTTCTTAGGTCTTCAAATTAAACAATCTCCTTCAGATATGTTTGTTTCTCAGACTAAGGATGCCAAAAACCTTGTATCTAAGTTCGGTCTTGAGTCGACCAAATATGCTCGCACTCCCATGAGCACCAATCTTCACATTTCCAAAGATTCCTTTGGTACTAATGTTGATCCTACCCTGTATAGGAGTATGGTAGGGAGTCTCTTGTACCTCATAACCAGTCATCTTGACATTGCATTTAGTGTAGGTGTTTGTGCCCGTTACCAAGCCTGTCCTAAAAAGTCTCATCTGATTGCTGTCAAACGCATCATTAAGTATGTGAATGGGACATTGGGTTATGGGATTTGGTTTTCGACCGACACTACAGCTGAAATCACGGGTTTTTCTGATGCTGACTGGGTAGGGTGTGCTGATGATTGTAAGGGCACATCTAAGGGGTGTTTTTACCTTGGGAATAATTTGGTTGCCTGGCATAGCAAAAGACAAAATGCCATTTCTCTTTCGACAGCTGAGACTGAGTATATTGATGCAGGGAGTTATTGTGCACAAATGTTGTAGATGAAGCCAATGCTTCATGATTATGGAATTGACCAGAACACTCTCCCTCTTTTCTGTGATAACACAAGTGCTATTAACATTTCTAAAAATCCTGTCCAACACTCTCGCACCAAGCGCATTGACATTTATCATCATTTTATCTGAGAGTTAGTGGAAAAAGGCCTTGTTGTTCCAGAACATGTACCTACTGAGCATCAAAAAGCTGATATTTTTACAAAACCCCTTGATCTTCTTAGGTTTGAGTTCCTTAGAAAGACCTTGGGTGTAGTGCTCAGTTACTAGGGTGTTACCTGTTACTTGAGTGGGTGTGAGTGTATCCTTTATGTGTACTTGGGTGCTATAATCTTATTCTCATTGATTCCTATCATTCCTGCATTTAGACTCATATGAACACCTCTTATGCTGCTTGCTAGATTTCATTTTTCATTGTCCATAGCTCATTCTGAATGCCCATGCTCGTTGACTTTATGATCTTATTCTATACACATTCTTAAGATAAATTATTGCAGGGGTTTCCGCACAAATGATCAAAGTTCTCTATGGACCACTAACAGTGTATCTTTTACATTATTGGAGAAATTTACCTATACTGGTATATCATGGGTGATGTTGAGTCTCTTAACCATCTACCATTATTTTTCACTTTCACGGTTCCTCCCTCAGTTCATTAAAGTCCGAGCATTAGGAAAAGGCTACCTCAGAGGCACCAATCAAGCCATCATTTCTGATTTCATGCTTCTCTGGTTTGGTCTCCACACTCTTGAGCGTGCAAGCCACCAGTGAGTGCCCACAAAAAAGAAAATTCACAAAATATTATAAAAAAAAAGACTTATTGATTGAGGGAGAGCCTCCGCGCTTACTCAACAAATACCCCTTGATTTCTAGTGGTTTCACTTTTCTCTGTGACGTTTCGCTACTCTTGCCGGAGGTTCAACCATCCGATCGTTACGAGGATTAACTCTAGCTCTGTGGCTTCTCAAGGATTGCATACGCACGCATTCATTATGTGAGCTCTCATGTTTGCTTTTGAGTTGTGCATTCTCATGTAGCTTATGATCATTGATTAAGTGTCATTTTGGGAACCAAAATAAAAAGTCACGTTTTTGTCAAAAGGTCCAAAAACGCAAGTGGCAAAAACGCAACAAAATTGGTTTGGGAAGTTATAAAAACACAAGTGTAAAATTACAAATTGGGGCTTGTGACAAAAAAATAAAAAAATAAATTTCTTATGTTGGGTAAGGGTATTTTGGTCATTTTAATTTGATTTGACACCATAAACAAATATTAAACTAAAAAGCCAAAAGCCAGCTTTTTACCAACTTTCCAAATCACTTTCTAAAAAGCTAAAAAGTTTGATAAAAAACCAAAAGCCAGCTTTTTACCAACTTCCCAAAACACAGCTAAATTTTATCTGATTTGCTCATGATTTTGTGGTTCATAATTTCAAATTTTGCGAGTTTGCAGGCTTACATGGTTTGTGGATTATCCCATCTTAGTGTCACATTCTTGTAGTTATGCTCACCTCTATTTTGTTACAGGTCACATTTCTCAGTACGAGTTGGTTTTTTTGCTCAGAAAAGATGTTTTGGTCATTGGTGTTTTTTTGTCCCCACTCGAGCAAAAATTCTCACGCTCGAGTATAGATTTCATCCCTCTAGCATTTTTGTAGAGTTGTTCAAACTTCTAAAATTTTGTTTTTGGTGCTCGAGCACCCAATTCCTTGCTCGAGCGTAGCCACGTGTGTTCTGGCGAGTGCTCAAGCATTCAAACCCACGCTCAAGCGGACTGGTTTGATTTAAAAATCCTTTCCTCAACTCTTCAGTCCATTTTTTCCTAAATTCTATCTCTCTCCTAGGGTTCCTTTGGCAAATCTGTGATCCCCCATTGGGCTGTTGATTGGCGTGCTCCTTTCAGTACTTTGTTTCTCGTACTCCTTGGTCATCTCAGGTATGTTTCTCTCATCATGTGTCAATTTCCTTTTCTTTATTTATTTTTGGTTGTTTCTTGTTCCTCTCACCTTCATCATCCATACTTGTTCATACTGTTTGAGTTTTGTGTGTCTCGACTATTCCTGTTTATGGTCTGTCGTTTTGGGTATTTTGGTTGCAATGTGATTATCAGTTATCATCCTCTTAAATCTATGGTTGTGAGCTCTCATGAGTTATGAGATATTGAGTTGTGTTTTTTGGTATGATCACTGCCTTATGTTCTATTGTGATTATGTGAGGGTTGATCATACTGATTTTAATATTGCTTTTGACTATTTGGTTATTCTATATTTGGACTCTTCTACTAATGTTTGGTCTGTGTTTTTGATTTTGGTTCTTATCTTGGGTTTAGGGGTTTATGGTTGTCTCATTTGGGTATCTTTGGTTTAGTCATGTCCACTTCTAAACGAAAGAAGTCAACTGTCACTCGCCCTTCTTTTAATACAGACCGATTTCCCTCGGCTGAAAAAACCAAGTTGTTTAGAGAGTCCTACCCCTCTAGGACTGTTCATCTTGAACGCAATGTTCTGCCAAACACTTTTGAGTCTATCCACATTTGTCCTTTGTTTGATCCTTTGGGTAGGGATTTAGTTTTTTCCTTCTTGAGCCGTCAAAATCTTGATTGTGTGCGGGAATTTTACTGTAATATAGAGGGGATTGACGATGTTGGTCCATCGTTCAAGACTTGGGTCAGGTCTAAGTCTATCACAGTTACTCCTGACCTTATACGTGAGCTTTTAAGTATTGGTAAAGTCTTTCCTATTTTCTATCATTTCCCTGTTTGACCTACCTGTGATTTCAATGAGGTGGCCACTGCTTTATATGGTACATCTCGTTTGTGGCTCCCGGGCTCTTTGATCAAACAAAGTGAGCTCATTCCCTAATTTCGCTTACTCAATCTTATTGTTTGTGTCAACATCATTATGATCACCCACAACTATCGATCTTGCCACCTTGATCATTCAAAAAATGGTTACTGCATTTGAGCGCAATAACCTTGGTCTTCCTTATGGTTGCCTCATTAATCGGCTTCTCGCCAAGTTTGAGGTTCCCTCTTTTGATGAGGATGACTTTGCCTTTCCTTCCCGATCTTTCACCAAAAAGACTGTCTCTCAGAGTCAATCTTATGTCAGGGGGGTTCCTTCTGGAGTGGGTAGTTTTGGTGCAGGTGCAGGTGCAGAGGATGCTGCTATGGCTAAGGAGGCAGAGTATGATGCGGCTGTTGCAGGTGAGGCTGCCGGTTGAGGGGAGCAGCTTCCTCCAGTTCGTACTATCCGAGGCCAACTACGTCAGTTCGAGCAGTCCATGGTCTCACATTTTGATCGTCTGGAGGGTCGGATGGATATCTTTGAGGCCAGACTTACTGATCTTGAGACTACCGCTAATGCTCGGCTCATAACGTTGGAGGCCTCATCCAGGCGCATTGAGGAGTCAGTTGCTCAGTCCTCTTCTCATATGTCCCAAATTTTGTCTCTTCAATAGATGCAGCCACCTCCACAGCTACCAGCTCAGTGATATCTGTTTTATTGGCTAGTATACTTTTTACACAGTGTTATCTCTTGATTTTTGTTGCACAATTTTATCTCTTGATTTTTGTTTCTTTTTCACTTGTGTTTACCTCCTGGACAAAAAGGAGGAGTGGATATTGGATATACTTGATGCATGCATGGATATTGGATATACTTTTGTTTCATGGATATATTTGATGCATAGTTATTGATATTTTTGGGTATGGATATTGAGTTATTAGTGTTTCATGGATATTGGGATACTTTTGACATTTGCTTAGATATATATTTGACTTTTGTTTAGTGATATATATTTTGCTATTTATCCAGTTCCACAGTTTTGGTTTGTATGGTTGTTTCCACAGGTGGATTGTTTAAGGATTAAGTGTTTCATGTTCGTATTCAACCCTTGTGGTTTTTGTAGTGGTTTTGTTTTTTTCCGTTAAAGTCTAGGTTGTTGATTATGTTAGTTAGTGTGTTTTGGGTTTGTTTGTTAGGAAAATTGTTAGAACAGTTTTGTCCGGGATTTGACAAAGGGGGAAATTGTAAGGACCCTACTTGTTGTCAAATTCCGTGCACAAACTTGAGTTTCATTGAGTTGTAATTTTCTTATGTTTTTGGTCTTCCCGTTCAAGCGGGGAAAGTGGCGCTCTAGCGGAGATTCCACCCTCACAGTATTTTGGCTTGTCTTCAAAATATACTGAATGGTGTGTTTTTATGCTCAAGCATGGGATCTTACGCTCGAACGTGAGCCCTGGTTTGGAACACGCAATATAGAGTCCCTGCTCAAGCGGACCTCGCAATCTTAGTTTCTATGAAACCTCAAGTTGCTCCAAATTTAGGGTTACGTTTTCTAGATCTTCTTTAAGGGTTTTAGGGTTTTCTTTTGGAGATATTTTTCTGGTTTTCCTTGATGTTTGATTGAGTTTGAACTCATGTTCTTATAAGCACACATCAAGGAGTTTGTTTGATCTTCTTGGAGAATATTCTTCTTCGGTGGAATCCAAAAATTCATGCACAGAGTAATCAAAGGAGTTTGATGTTGTGTGCAGTTGTTGATTCGACAATGGACGTTTTGGATTCAACATCAATCTAATCAATTTCGAGACGAAGGTTGCAGTGAAAGATATACAGAAGATTTGAATACAAATTGGAAGCGTTTGGGTAATTTGTTTGGTATCTTTCTAATCTTTCTTTCTTCAGTAGTGGATTGATTTGTGGCGTTTTGCCCGTGATTTTTTTATCACAATTGAAGGTGCTTCAATTGTAGTTTTTCTACGTAAAAATCGTTTTTGTCGATTTATTGTTTTCTGAAATAACAATCTAAATCACTTTCGTATGTGCTTGATGATTTAGATTGTGAGTTTTAATTGGTTAGAAATTGGAACTATTAAATCTTGATCTAATCACGAATTACTTAGGTTTTTCAACTTGGGAAGAGGTCGGTCTACTTGAAGAGATATGGAATCCGTAAGGACACTAGTCCATCTTCCATACATTTCGA